GGCAAACACAGTGAGTCGAAATGGTTGTAAACCATATATGATTTTGTAATTAAGCAAAAATGTTTGTATTATATATACGACAATAAAGTGATGATTGTGTGCACCACTATCTATACATTAAGTACAGTATATGGCATTTGGTTTATCTATGTTTATGATGAATAAGCAAATATATTTGTGTTGGAATTGGTTCGCAATCGGCAATAGTATAGTATATTATTGAAATATATAAGTTTAAATTACAGCCCACTATAAAATCATTTTAAATATTTTCAATGTTAAACATCTTATACATACTGTCCTATCAATCAGTGTAATGGCATAAAGAGAAAGAAGATATTTAGTAGCAATAAAAGGCCTGAAGGGTAGTTCAATTTGAGACAGTGTCGACTGTCCAACAAAGATGTACCGCTCAAATGTATATCAAAATTCCCATGAGTTCTGAATATATATATATATATATATATATATATACTGAGCAAATAGTCATTGCTGTTCATCAGAAAACAGAAACTTTTTGCTCATATATTTAAATTTGAAAGCTTAAGATACCAGTGCTCTGAACACAACAAGAGTGCACTGCTTATATTGAGGCTTATATGGAGTATAACTCTTATAGGCTGTAAGTAACCGACTGTTATATTGCCGACAATTTCTACTTTTGGGGAAAACTTTTGCAAAACTTACGGTAAGACATAAAGAGAAGGACCAGATAGTTATGTGAAAGCACAGGAATGCCAGCCCCTTATATTTGGTGTTAACGCTGGCAGAGGACTGGCTATAAATGTCTTTAATACTTGAAACAAGTTTATACTCGCAAAGAGAGGACACGTTTTATGAGATAATTAAACTGAATTGCTCTCTCCCTGTCCTATAATGTTTGTGCATATATAACAACCAAATGAACACTTAGTTTTTCGGGTACTGGTTTTGTTGGGACAGTTGTTGCTGTTGTTGATTATGTTGTGCTGTTATGATAGTCATAATAATAATACTAATAATTATAGTCAAAGTAATAGCAATCAGAGAGTTCAGTGTTTCAGCACTTTTATAGAAGACATTTGTTTTACCAGAAAAACTATTATTATTTTAAACCTTTATTTTGCACACAATTTTATGAACTCAATAGCCTATCATTTTATTAGTATCACTGAATCAGTATTATTATTATTATTACAGCCATTTTAATATGTTTCAAATAATTAGAGCAATTCATTGAACCTAATTAACAGAATTTTATATATGTATAGTATATTAACTAAAATTCTTGATAATAAAAACAAAAAATTAATTCTTACTAAATAACAGTAATTTTAATTTTTTTAAACTAAACAAATATTGTTAGCGATTAATAGAAAAACAATTGCTCTCTCAATGAAATGTTGTGTAGTATTAAGTGATGTCTTGTTATTTAGCTATAAGTGCTATGATGTTAGATATAAAGTATCAAATTTATATTTGTTATATAAATTGTGACTATAATAAGATATTACTTATTGAGAATCGGAATTAGTTGTCTCTCTTTACTGTTATTTTAAGCAATAGTTCTCTCTCTCTCTCTCTCTCTCTCTCTCTCTCTCTCTCTCTCTCTCTTACTTTCTCACAGTGAGTGTGTGTGTGTGTGTGTGTGTGTGTGTGTGTGTGTGTGAGTTGTATGAGTACTTTAGTGTTATATCATATAACTTATATGTTTGCTATGATAGTTACAAAATTGCTCACAAACTTATAGTCATACTGTCATTCAAGTGGACAGACTGTTTGAAATGAAACTTTTTTCTAGCAATGAAGTGCTTTTGGGCATCACTTCTCTCTCTGATGTGTGTCTCAGTCTCTCTGTTCTCTCTCTCTCTCTCTCTTGCATATGTTGCTAAGTGATGCCGGAAAGAGAGAGAGAGAGAGAGAGAGAGAGAGAGAGAGAGAGAGAGAGAGAGAGAGAGAGAGAGAGAGAGAGAGAGAGAGAGAGAGAATATATACCCAAAAGCACTTCATTGCTAGAAAAAAGTTTCATTTCAAACAGTCTGTCCACTTGAATGACAGTATGACTATAAGTTTGTGAGCAATTTTGTAACTATCATAGCAAACATATAAGTTATATGATATAACACTAAAGTACTCATACAACTCACACACACACACACACACACACACACTCACTGTGAGAAAGTAAGAGAGAGAGAGAGAGAGAGAGAGAACTATTGCTTAAAATAACAGTAAAGAGAGACAACTAATTCCGATTCTCAATAAGTAATATCTTATTATAGTCACAATTTATATAACAAATATAAATTTGATACTTTATATCTAACATCATAGCACTTATAGCTAAATAACAAGACATCACTTAATACTACACAACATTTCATTGAGAGAGCAATTGTTTTTCTATTAATCGCTAACAATATTTGTTTAGTTTAAAAAAAATTAAAATTACTGTTATTTAGTAAGAATTAATTTTTTGTTTTTATTATCAAGAATTTTAGTTAATATACTATACATATATAAAATTCTGTTAATTAGGTTCAATGAATTGCTCTAATTATTTGAAACATATTAAAATGGCTGTAATAATAATAATAATACTGATTCAGTGATACTAATAAAATGATAGGCTATTGAGTTCATAAAATTGTGTGCAAAATAAAGGTTTAAAATAATAATAGTTTTTCTGGTAAAACAAATGTCTTCTATAAAAGTGCTGAAACACTGAACTCTCTGATTGCTATTACTTTGACTATAATTATTAGTATTATTATTATGACTATCATAACAGCACAACATAATCAACAACAGCAACAACTGTCCCAACAAAACCAGTACCCGAAAAACTAAGTGTTCATTTGGTTGTTATATATGCACAAACATTATAGGACAGGGAGAGAGCAATTCAGTTTAATTATCTCATAAAACGTGTCCTCTCTTTGCGAGTATAAACTTGTTTCAAGTATTAAAGACATTTATAGCCAGTCCTCTGCCAGCGTTAACACCAAATATAAGGGGCTGGCATTCCTGTGCTTTCACATAACTATCTGGTCCTTCTCTTTATGTCTTACCGTAAGTTTTGCAAAAGTTTTCCCCAAAAGTAGAAATTGTCGGCAATATAACAGTCGGTTACTTACAGCCTATAAGAGTTATACTCCATATAAGCCTCAATATAAGCAGTGCACTCTTGTTGTGTTCAGAGCACTGGTATCTTAAGCTTTCAAATTTAAATATATGAGCAAAAAGTTTCTGTTTTCTGATGAACAGCAATGACTATTTGCTCAGTATATATATATATATATATATATATATATATATATATATAAATGTTTGGGACAGTTGACACTGTCTCAAATTGAACTACCCTTCAGGCTTTTTATTTATACTAAATATATTCTCTCATGTATGGCATTCCCCTGATTGATAAAACATTATGTTTTACATTGAAAATATTTAAAAAGTTTTTTTTATAGTGGGCTGTAATTTAAACTTATGTTGTCAATTATATTATTGTTAAATGAAATATTGTTATTTTTTATTTGCATTTTTATAGTAAAGTTTGTTTGAGTCTAAATGTTTGAAAGAACTGCTAGACCTTAGAGTTAAACATATAATGCATTTCAATGTATAGTATATTATAATATAAAGAATTTTTGTTAGTCTATAGAGATTGAGTACATTATTGATGATAATAATGTTAAGTCTAAAGTCATAGACAAGGGGTTCAAACAGTCAAACTAGTAGTTGCTTTAAAAACACGAACTTTGCATTTAAAGACTGTATTCTGTTGTTTGATATGCCTTTCAATACGACATACTTTCTCATTGAAACTCACATAAAGCTTCCGTTTATAACATACCTGTCTTCACAGTTCTCTATTATGGCATAATTTAATTCAGTTGTGTTGGACAGTCACTCTTTTTAATGTCATATAGCATACAGTGACCTAAAATCAGTGGTGTGAATAGTCTTATGCTTTCTCTCAATTCATAGCTTATGGACTCAATGAACAAAAACGGTTGACTTTATTATATTATGCTTTCCTATTGTATTACTTCTATTGACAACACTATTAACTTATGTATCGGCGTTATGTATCTGTGGCCACACTATCGACAATAGACTTCAAACTATAGCTCATAAGTTAGTTTCACTTTTTTCTCTCAATTTTGTGACACTAAAAGGCTCTTTAGTGATACAATATACTGATCCATACATAAGGTGATCACTGATCCGTTTGGATAATCTTCTAAAACTCGGTTCCGAACAATATTCAAGAAATTGCCAGTAGTTTAGTGTTAATACAGTATAATATACGTTATATATAGCAATAACATACAAAACAACACAAAAAAAGTTCATTCATTTTCCTCAACACTACTGTTTCACTATATATTTCACTACATTTTTTCTCTTCAATACCTTTTTCTTGGGGTTTGGCTTTTTTTGACTAACTTTAGACTATTATTTGATTTTTTCTCTCTATATTAAAATGCATTCAAAAATATATCGTAGACTTACTTTTAGTGTAAAGAAATAAATGCCATTCATCTAATAGTGTAATGTATTGTTCACTATATAAAGCCAGATATAGTTGACTATTAGTGACAGTCGTTTGAAATCTAGTGTTGAATAATATGAATATTTTTATATAAAACAAATATTACGTAATAAACACATGTCTAATAATTTTAAACTTTTGTCAATTTTTTTGTTATTTTTCTTAAAAATCAAATCAATAACTTTATAATTTACATATGAATTCTTGTACAGAATTTTCAACATTCACTTACATTAATATAATTGTTTAGTTAATAATAATAATAATATTCATACAATAATAATATATTTCTCAAAATGTTACATTGGTTTTTATATTTAACTATAAATTACAATTAGTTTAATAATAAAGCTAATATTTTATTTTTAAAAATGAAATTTATTATTTTAATAGTTTATTTAAATTAATAGTCAAAGTCATTATATATTTAAATAGCATTTAACAAAAACAAATGAACTTCAAAAACAAAAACTGCTATAACTTGGATATAGACATATACTTATATACATTAGATATAATGAGAAAAATAGAGAGAAAGTGGGAGATTAGCTAAAATAGCAATTATCCAAATAAACTATCAATTAGGTGTCAGTGCTCTCTCTCTCTCTCTCTCTCTCTATTAGCCAATTGAGTCTATGGCTCAAAAAGACTAATTTTTATCGCAATTTGTGAGTAAAGTTTCGACTTATAGCAGTTATTTAAGACATTTATAACTTAACACACGAATAATATATATAAGGAGAAGTTAGACGGCAGACACACGAGTGAAATGAGTCAAAAAAAATGAGTTACAGATGTTTTAGTCATCAATAAGTTTAGTGTTAATGCAATCAATCGGTTAGTTATGTGTACTGTATTTGCACACAAATGGTTGTCAACACGCGACAAGTTATGCCATATATCTATATATTTATACACACATAGGATTTATATATATAATCAGTTGTCAGCACTGTTTTGATGATATGCTGTTTGGATAAGATACAGGTGTTGTTGTTGTTGTATTTAAGGGTACGTTAGACTGTAGTTAAACAATTGTCGGCCATAAAGAGTGGTAGAATCGGTGTCTATTCCTTTAGATGCGATGGCGTTTTTCGGGCGATTCCGACGATTCCGCAAATCGCTGGTCAAGTTTGTCGATCAGTAAATGATTTCGTGAAAATCTGCTGTCCATTGTATCACTGATTTATTAAAAGACAAAATCGTATTTTATTTTTAATGGTGTTTTTCAGAGCTAATCATTCAAATTACATACAAAAGTGTTTTATAAAACTGTTTGCTATTGTATTTTAATAGAGACTGACTTTTTTTAACTTATAATTAATTTTGACAGTATAAATGTGTTCACTGTGTATTTATCATTGTACAGTACTATTATAATATATAATAGTTAAACACATAAACACTTAACTATTATTAAATATACAAAAAGAGTGACTAAATTGAATGAAATATTAATTAAATTATTCAATAGTAAAAACATTGTTATGAATGTTGATGTATATACAGTGTTATACTATACTATATAATATTATGCCTAATTTAAAACCATTTGACTATTTTTCACGGACTACTGTGTTATCCCTAAACACACTAAACTGCATGCACTGGTAGTATCGTACAGTTCAACATATCATATAAGCCGACTGTTTAACTATTTGACTCAACGATAAGTTGATTAGTATTTCATTTAGTTTTGACGGTCTCTCTGTTGGAAACCTAACGGAGAGTAGTATTGATAGTACACTGTTTTGTCACTAATATAATCATCGCTTTTTGAAAAATCAATTCATTTTAAAAACTTTTTGACTCTTACTAGTAGTGGCACACTTTAAAGTGTATAAACATATTTATACGCATAAATCAAAAAATAAAGTAATATCTATCAATAGTGCATATAATAATATTTTTCATTTCATCTCCAGTACCGGAATAAATCTTGAACAGACACTTGACACCATTTTTTGTGTGCCTTATGTACTCTTTATCACACAATATATTTAACTCACATCTATATTGTCGACTATAAAACTGGTCATAAATACTTATATTATATTGCTTATGTAGACTACCATACAGTATATATTATAATAGTATGTGATATATAATTCATATATATATACTGCTATTGCCACTGTAGTGTATCAATGAATTTATATTGAGTGTATTATTGTAGAAAAGTCATTGAGAAAACATAAAAGAGTCATTTGATTACTGTATTGGTATAATTCATATTGAAAAGCAATGAATGAATAATAAGTTATTATTAATAACATTACATTTCAATTGCATTCATAACTTATGAAATTTTTCGCTACTGTTGTTTGAGTATATTGTTTGTTATAAAAGAAAACACTGGAATAGTGGTGATGTTGGGTCTTGAGATAACAGTGCTCTAAGCAGTAGAAATAACATTTGTCTCAACAACTATTTTAACAGTTAGATATCTGCTTATATTTGACCGTATTATTAGATATACGCCACTATATTTTTGAAGTGCATTTTAAGTACTATAAAAATAACAGTGAATAATATATCTCATATCATATAAAGTCTGGACCAATATATATATATATATAAAATAATATCATATTATTCTAAAACATGTGTTTTGTAAAGCCATATGAAAACAATACTTAAATTGAAAATACGTACATATATATGATATATACTGTATATAAACGGTATAAGTTATATATATAAGTGTGAGGACATACCTGTTATTGTGAATATTTGACTGTTGAGATACTAATCCATTTTCGAGTGGCTTTATATCGTCACCATCTGTCACATCACTGCCAGATTTGGCTGAGTTTACCAATAAAAACGATACACAAAAAAAGATGATAACTTTTAATATAGAGTTAACCAGTGAATGTCAAACTATATATGTTGTTGTACTGTATAAACTGCATTCTTAAAGTATGTATGTCTTAAAAATAACGATTACCAACCAGAGTGACCAACAATTGTTAAGCTCAATGTGTTATTGTGTTATAAAATACAAGCTTTATACCAACATATTTTTCATAAGTTTTGTTTATTGTATTATTCCTAGACTTTCTCATAAAAATTATTTTTAGAATAAAAATTATATTCTGTATTTATTCGGTATATTAGAAATTTATGAAATAATTAGATATAACAATAAATAACTTTATATATATATATATATCTAATTTAACATTTGTTGGTCACTATACTATATGAGTAAACCAACTATAAATGACACAAATATTATCGCACACATCAAACATACAAAACATTTATTGATTGTTAGATACATAAGCGTTATTATATACTCTATTTGGTAAAATGCTAAGAGAGTAACGTTGTTATGAAAAATAAATATCAGATATTGTTTGTCAATAATCAAAAGGCAAACACTGTTGAAACACAAACAAACACACACTTTGTCTAATAACAGCCAATAACTGTTGTATAAAGGATTAGTTGACATATATGTATAAATTGTTCATAACTTATGTATTAGAAATTATGGCAATATTTTATAACATAAACTTATAACTTAATCTAATTTTCAATGAGTCGTTGGGGGTGTTAAACACAAATATAATACATTATTATCGTTATATATTAGATACTTGAGAGTCGAAAGTCAAAGTGTGCAATAGTGTAATGTCAAACAAAATAACTTATTATAAATAAGTTTATGATTGAGAGTCTCAATTTAAGATATATATTTCTCCCCAACACTTAACTATAACACACTATACTCTTATATATAAATTTATGTAAATTTATATCATATCTCTCAAAATTTATAATATCAATAGATAAAAATGTTATTATAAAAGTTGCACAGATTTAATGTATGCATCTCTATATGTAATGAATTATATTGTAAATTATATCAATGGGAGACTTTAAGGAGTATCTGTTGAATAACAAAACATAGTATCAAAAGTAATCCAATTTTAATTGCATTGCATTTTTATTGCACTAAACTTATAAATTGGTCATCAAAGGTCTAAAATATTTATATACCAAATATACTGTTTCTCTAAAAGTCGGTTTAATATAATAAATAATAAGTTAATTATTTTATAGCATTTTCTCTAATGATTTTTTTTGCATAACTGATAATTTCAGATTCACTACTTATTAAATCATCAAAAATAATACTCTCTTTTATCTCCTATATAATAATTTTACTGCTAATTAACGTACAAAACACTAAACATTCTATAGATAAAGTTCTCTCTCTCTCTCTCTCTCAATGTTAACTAACAGTGCGCACCGGTTGTCATACACGATGTCATCATATATATGAAGTTTCAAATGCTTTCTCTTCTACTTTAATGATGACATTTCTATTCATCACAACATTTAAAGAGATATTTTATTGAATATATGGCTAATTTTGGCCTTAAATATAAATGATAACTATGCTGTTGTCGGTGCAAATGAGTGCCATAACTATTAATCTAATAGTCATTTAATGTGTCAAAACAGATATAATTTATTATATTAACATTTTTTACAGTATATTTTTAGAAAGTATTGTAAAACATAAATTCAAAATGATATAAACATTTAAATATTTTCTTACTAAAATTTTAAATTGTATTTTAATATTCTATACAAATAATATCTATAATATTGAATAATATAATGTCGTATAAAATAGTTTATATTATTTGTATATTTATATTAATAGTATTTTAATTAATTTAATTAATAAATGATTTAACTAAAAGTGCTAACCTTCTTGTCCACCGGTGTCCCAATTATGGTGACCACTATTAGAGGCCTCACTAGACTTGTCGCAGTCAATCATCTCTTTGTCATTATCTGCCAAATCGGACACTACATCGACATTGTTTTCAGACGACGAGTCATTGTCCTCCTCATCCTCCACACGCTAATCATATATATATAAACAAACAAATAAAACTATTACATAACAAAATAAATTTTTGTTTTTTTAATATGAAGTAATTTTTTAATAATGTCTTCAATATTTTATAACAAATTTTATTTGTTGCTAACAAAATGTAATTAATTTTTGTTGTTGTTGTAAAACTTTAAATATAAGACTAGTTTTAATATTAAACTAAATGACCTCTTTTTGAAAAATATAGTTATTATGCTTATCGTATAAACTCGAAAAACATTTTTATTTATTATAAAATGTTTGCTTATATGTAGACTCTTTCATGTCTTGTCCGGTGATTAATGAAGAGTTGATCTCTACTTCAAACAGAGTTGACTCTTAGACAGTATTTTGAATTAATTTTAATATACAATATATATATATATATATATACCGTATAGGAGAAGCTCAACAATATAACAAAATACTTAATATTACAGTATAGAAGTTGTTATACATTATATCTATTGTATTTTAGTGAAAGAATAGTTGACTTTATTGGATATCAACTGAAAAAGCACTTATTGATGTCATAATAATAGCCAAAAATTTATTATCTAATATTACTTTGTTGAGACTCAACCAAAAACACACATACAATCACTATAAATACAAAAGCGTTTAACTTTTTATATATAAATTATATGTGTATGTAATGATTGAATCGATAAATTTGTAGACAATTCCCATCTCATTGTTCATTGTTTAATAATGAGAGTCACATAAATATTACAAACATAGTTAAGAGAAAAACTATGAAAATGAATCAATAATAATGATTTGTTGTCTTTCATTTAAGTTTTTCATTGAAAGCAATACAAAGTTAAGTATAAATTTATAGATATAAATGTTTAAGCAATCATTTTATGCCAACTCTTTACTTTAAAATTCAGAAAAAAGTTCCTCTAATTTTTAATGGGATTATTATATGGTATTATATGCGAAATCAACCAAATAAAACTCATCCACTAAATGTATTTTAAGATAAAATATCAAATATATGAATATAAATATATAAATCAAATACTGTAGAGTTATTATAGAGACAATTCAAATGACAACTCATGTATCACTAGAAGAGGGACTAAAAACTAACAGTATTTTGACATTAAATGTCAATAATTCGATCCCTTTTATTACCAGTAAATGAGAGCACATAGTATAACACACACACACACACACACACACACACACACACACACACACACACACACACACAACTCACTCATTCAGCAACTCGAGGCAAACTAACTAACCCTCACCAGTATATAAACACTTTACTAACAAAGCCTTTCTCTGATGTGATCCTAAAATGAGAGTCAATCGGATCAGTCAAATAAATCCGTTCACAGAATGGCATTGGAAACTGAGTCTCAAAATTAATGTTAAGCTTTAAGTCATTGAAACACTTGTGCGTTATGTTTGTCTATCATTTTCATTGAAATACTACTGAATTTCATTATTGCATTTATACTATATCTAGAAAAATAAAACTTTCTCTCAATAATAATCTCATAGTATTTAATCCTATATACAGTAATAACGATATAAAGTAATGACGAAAATATCAAACAACTTGTTTTAGTTATTCATTTAATTATAAGAATAGTATAGTTATAGTACTTCTTGTACTTCTAGTACTGACCTGAGATGTGGTGCTCACATCTGAACCGTTGTTCCAAATGGAAGAGTCGTTCCTCAGAGGAGTCAAAGGTTGTCCCACACTCTCTGTCCTGAAGTCGGACTCGGATTCAAACTTTTTTCTCGTTTGTCTTATAATTGCTTTTAATAAATTTAGTAAATTATGATTAGATATTTTTTTTAATTAATTAATAAATTATAATAAAATAAAAAATTACAATTTTATAAATATATGTCATGACTAATGATAAACGTATATTATATTATATTATATTATATTATATTATATTATATTATATTATATTATATATATATATATATAAGAAAAATAATTATTATTTAAATTAGTTTTTCATATTTTTTGTTGTTGTATGAAAACTATATTTAACAGTTGGAAAACACTAATCAGTTTTAAAATGTCAAGAAATATATTAAATGTTTATGAATTACTTAATATAAAAATATGTTTATATCATACATAACACACTTAACTAACACAAAATATAGTACTCGCAGTAAAATAAATTATTAGGAAAAATACTAAAAATAATTAATTATAATAAAAATCTTCAAAAGAAATTGTGTAACAAATATAAATCATTTTACAAAATTTCATAAATAAAAATTATGCACATTTTCTTATTTAATACAGTTAGTCAGATAAGTTATTTTTATCACTAATTGTTGATATTATCAAACGATTCAACTTCATATATATTAATTTATATGCAAAAATTAAATATAACTACAATAAATAAATAATTAAATTTTAAAATTTATTATTACATTACAAATTGAATTTTGTTATACGATATACAAGTTTGTCATATTATTTATAACCATTAAATAGTTGCAATATATAAATTAACATGCAAATATAATAAAAGTTGTATTTAAAAGATAAAATTAATTTTTTATATAGATCATATATTTAAAAAATATTGTATATTATAATTTTAAATTGTTAATTTTTTATCAAAAAAATGCATAAAAATTTAAATTTGGCATTAATTCAAATGTAATTAAAACACAATTTATTTTAACACAATTTTATTGTTACAAAGATATAAAGATAAAGAGAAAATTATAGCTTTAACTGCAAATTAATAATGAATTTTTCTGAGATTATAATCAGTGTTCAGATTATAAACAGTATTATAATTAAAATATTTTAGTGATTTAAGAGTTTCATTAAAATGACAATTTTACAACAATTTACGAGACATTAAAAGACAACAAAAATATAAATACTCTAAAAATCAGTTGAAAAAGTGTTTCTATTATAACGTTTCTGAAAATAATGAAAATAAAATATAGTATTTTAAATAAAACTTGAATTTAAAGAAAAATTGAATTTATAATCATTTTTACAAATGTCTTTTAAAATATATAATAAGTATGTGATTTGAATTTATTTCATGAAAATTATGTTTAAATAATGCATTTAAATAAATAAAAAGCTTTTTATTGTTGCTGTTGTTGTTGGTTAACAAATAATAATAATACAAATATTTACTGTATCTATGAATACATTTAATTATTATAGCGTTTAAATTACAACTTTACAAAAATAATAAAATTAATATTATATTTGTACATAAAAGTAATTATAAAAAATAAAATAAATAATTTATATTGATAACTAGCAAAAATAATAAGTTGTGTACAAAACAAGCTTAAAATTTAAATAAAAATTCTATAATACAAAGTTTATTTAAAAAAAATAAAAATACTAAAAACTGTTTTGCAACAAATTTTAATGCAAATAAACTATAAAATAGTAAAAATATAAATTGCTCCAAAATACTGGTTTGATTTGACATTTATTTTTCACTAATAATAATAATTATTATTATTATTATAACTTTTTATTATAAGCAGTACTTTATTATACTGTACTGTATTTCACGTAAAGAAAGAGTTAACAGAATTTAAGGGATAAAAGCCTTTTAATAAAATTACGAAAAAAGTAAATAATTTTTAATGTTATAAAAAAAGTATAAGATTTTTTGGACAGATTTTGAGTCGGCTTTTATGAGATGTGTGTTTTGCAATTGATTTTTTGTTAATTGCATTGAATAAAATTGTAATGTCAGACACAAAATTGCATAAATCTTAAATGCATAAATTGCATATACAGTATGTGTGATATAGGATATACATAAAAATGGTAAATACCTGTTAGCCTTGAGTGACGATTTTGCCTAACCCTTTGAAATGTCTATAAAAACAACGACAAAAATAGATACACAATAATGGTTAGGTTTACACTATTAAATAAATAATGATTTTTAGTTTAGAGACTAAAAGATCGGATACTCTGATAAAAAGATTTTCTGTAGTTTTTTTCTCACAGTTTATTTAAATAATAAAATTTGCAAAATCTATATATTATAATATATTATAATATTTTGGTTTTGAGATGAAAGGGTTAAAAGAAATAAAAAAAAAGTTTCTGTTTTATATAGCATTTAGTTATTTATTTATATTAAATGTATATAAACTATAAATAATATGTCATTTAGTTAAAAAGTAAGAGAGAAAAAAAAACTTATGTATGAGTAGTAAATGTATGTCCATAAGGACTGTTAGGTTACCTCCCATCGCGAATACGGCAACTTTTTCTGATATGATGAACAACTTCTTGATTCAAAATGCTGTTCATTACTTTCAGATGAATCGCTCGGAATGTATGCAAAATCATGTAATCTATTGGATGACAAATATTTAAGATTTTATTTTTCATTTTATTTTATTAAATACATATTTTATGTAAACATTTTTATAGAAAAAAAATATTGTAAATAAAATTTATATTGCAATATGCATATATGTTATATTAATCAAGCAATAAGTGCAAAGATTCAGCAAATTTATACTTTGTTTTATTCAACAAAAAAAAAACAAAAAAATCATGTTTGAATTTTTGTAATATATTAAAATTTAAAAATAACTAAAAGAGTATTAAAAAAGAGTATTGCCCCCAAATATTGACCCATACATTGGAAATGCCATCATAACTGGCAAAATGTTTTGACAAATTTGTCTCATTTTGTCTTATAATATGAAGCATTCAATTCAAACCCTACGACAACGGCAATCAGCCGTTCATTATTAGAAAGAAACTAAAGTAATGACTGTTAATATAAATGCTGAAAAAATTATTCACTAATACATTGAACACAATATTGCTAATAATAGTTTTTGTCGTTTCTAATTAAATCAAAATATAAAAAAATAATTCATTATAATTATTTAAGATATAAAATTTTTATTAAGTTAAATTATGAAAAGTTAATTTCTTTCAATAAAATAGCTAAATTTTTAGACAAATTGTCACTGATAACAGTAAAAATTTTATAAAGTTGTTATATAAATTTAATTCGACATTTTTTCATAATCATTAATATTTGAAATAGAAATATTGCAATAAGTGAATTTTAAAATAATGCTTAAATTATAGTTATTAACATATTATATACTTAAAAAATATACAGATAAATTTATATTTTATGAAAAAATAACATATATAAAAAGACTATAGTATAAAATATATGTTAACTAAAATGTGTTTTATCAGTGGTTTTTAGATTAAAAAGAAGAGACAGCAGAGAAGAGAGAGAGAGAGAGAGAGAGAGAGAGAGAGAGAGAGAGAGATGAGTTCTATACTTTAGGAATGTGGGGAATGAATGGGCAATAAAAGCATAAAAAGCACTGTTAGACATATATATGGCATATATATGGGTTGTTAGGTCTCCTCATCGGAAAAGCATCAGTGATTAGATTGTATAGTAAGTTATGAGAAAATTTAGAGAAGGATAGATAGAAAGATAGAAAGAGAGAGAAAGAGAGAGAAAGAGAGAGAGAGAGAGAGAGAGAGAGAGAGAGAGAGAGAGAGAGAGAGAGAGAGAGAGAGTAAAAGTAGTAGTAGTGATGGGAGAAAACAATTGCAGCAAAATTAAAAAATTCATGTTTTTATCAGTGACAGCGCTTACTAAGCATTCAGATACTATTGTTAAAACTATTATTCTGTATATTTAATAAAAAAATTCTAAGATTTTTAAATTGAAAATATGTAATATCATTTGCCGTATATATTTATTACACAATATATATATATATATAAATATTATATATATTGCACTCGATTTTCAGATTCACATAACATTTAATGCAATATCACTCGAGGCCTTAAATTTTTTTATGTTCAACGCTTTCTCTATTTGAGTAACAATATAAAAATATAATGCAATAAAAAATGTAAAATCAACAAAATAACAATATATTTTAAATTATGTAATTCATTGGAAAATAATTATCAAAATAATGAAATGTTAATCAATTTTTTAATCACTTTTTCATTTCACTTACTTTCTCTGTGTTTCCACTTTGCAGACCTCTTCATAAAAATGACTTCTGATGTCTACTCCTTCTAAAGATATGGAGCACAGCGGACACGTCAACGGTTGGGACGGCGACCGACACGACAATGATTGTGGCGACGATCGACAGGTCAGCGATTGAGACGGCGATCGACACGTCAACGGATGAGATGGCGATCGACAACAACCTTTAGATCCAATGGCTTAAGTATTGAACAATAAAAAGTTTATTTAATTTTTCTTAAATTAAGATTTTTTATGATAACTTATATATAGACTAATTATACCATTAGTCATAAAGTCAATTATTATTTTACAAAAATAATTTTAAAGATAATCAAAAACTATTTGGGTTTTAAAATTGTTGGCTAAATGTAACTAAAAATGACTGATAACATCGATAATTAGCAAACAATTCCTTAATAATAATATAAATATAAACTTTTTGGGTTAAAGAGTCTAATGGAGAATTAAGTTATAAAATATATATAAAGATTGAGAGATAGGATAAGGAGTGGAACAAAGTGAGTGAGTGAGTGAGTGAGTGAGTGTGTGAGTGATGAGTGAGTGAAAATAAAAGCAATAAATACCCGAAAGATTGTGTGAAAAAGTGTTGCCGAGAAAAGACATTTGACGAGCGATGGCGTGTGGGGACAGAAATGTTGACAAATTGTTGCCAACGAGTCCCGAATACGGATTCTGGCCATATATTGCAGGAAACGGGAAACACATAGACGGTATGGTGACGGGCGGGAAATGCATGGCCGGGTCCTTGATTGCCGATGGCTTAAGCAATGGTATGGATTGAAAGTTGGTTCGCGTAGGGCTCGAACTCATCGTCAACTAACTGAATGTCAACACACAAACAGCGAGAGTCAGTCACAAACACACTGTTACACAGCACTCCTCATGACTAATGAAGTTTATGGTGAAAGCAACTGCACTGCAAGTTAGTAGTTGACTGTGAGTTGGGAACAGTTTAGTTGAGTCAAGTAAGGACTGGTACTATCAACTGGCAGAGGGAAGTTCGTCGATCACTAACAGCACCAATAGAGTCGAGAGTTGCTTAACTTGCAGTCAACTAACTTTATTGACGTACTTCTAAAAGATAGACATCATTGGTCTAGATTTGTCAGTAGAGTATGCGCTCCGGTATCACATATAATACTACACACTGTCACACACACACACACACACACACACACACACACATACACACACACACATACACATACATATATACACACAATCATCACATTATCTTCACGTATATATAACTCTCAAATGACTTCTTCAGCTCTAACTTCTAACTACTCTACTATTCACTTAACTAAACTCTATCTTACTTTAACTCTACTGCTACTGACTCTCTCTCTCTCTCTCTCTTCTCTCTCTCTCTCTCTCTCTCTCTCTCTCTCTCTCTCTCTCTCTCTCTCTCTCTCTCTCTCTCTCTCTCTCTCTCTCTCTCTCTCTCACTCACTCACTCACTCACTCACTCACATACTGACTGTTTTTTCTGTCACATATATGAGCTATACTATAGTCTATAGCAATACTATAGAGTTGTGTCTTTCTTAAAGGAGTCCGAGAGAGTGCGTGTGTGAGAGAATGTGTATTGAAAAGTGAGTTACTATTTGAAGACAATGGATGTGTTGCACACCTGTGTAAAGTCAACAACCCATTCGGCAAAAGTGATACCAATATAGAGAACTATAAGTGTATGCTTTGAATAACTCAAATATTTCGCTCTTTAACTCATATCATCTCTCTTTCTCTCTTAAAAATGTCGTGTTTTTGGATGCCTTTCCAAATGTCGAGCTTTTATGAATATAAAAGCCGGGTTTGCATTTTAATAAGAAAAAGCAATAGTGGTATAACATTCAACCAAAAGAGCCATTCAATTGTCTGCAAACAGGATTACCATTACAACCAAAAAAGAGCACTGGTATTAATAGTAGTAGTAGTAGTAGTAGTAGTAGTAGTAGTAGTAGTAGTAGTAGTAGTAGTAGTAGTAGTAGTAGTCAGTTGATAGTCACTCTCTTTATAACATTTAGCAAACACTTAGTTAATGTGATCGCCTTTTATATATATCATTCATACCAAAAATAACTATTAATATAATAGAGAGTAAAAAAGAGATCCTGATGCTAAATTTTAAACCGCTTTATTTTTGTGCCACTCTATCATACCATACATATAAACTACTGTATTTTAGGTATAACCTGACTGTACTCTAAACATTCAGAATTAACTGCTAAAATGGTAGTTCCAGTTTTGCAACAAAATATCAAATATTATATATAAGTTAACAATAAAATACTACATTCAAGTCAATAGGGTTTCACTTATGGCATTAAAATGTAGACTAAAATTTATACCATTTATAACAATAGGATTATCAGCACTGCCAAATGCAAACGGACCACCTATTTTTTACCTACCGTTCTCTTAATCTTATAGTAAAAAGTTTTTAAAGCTTAAAAATATTAAAATACAGACAGTTTGTAACCAAAAATTTTAAGGATTTAAAAACATTATAATAGATATATACAACAGTATGTGTTGATGTAAAAGACAGTATGTTTCGGGAGGACAGTCAGTCTCAAGTACTGACAAAACAGTATATTGTGATGAAAGTAACGTTAATAGCAAAAACCATACCTCTGTTGACTTTTCCTTTTTATATTACGTATACTATATATAGAGTATATATCATAGGGTATTAATATTTATAATGAAAAGCATAGGTTTTGTGTCAAAAAAAATATGTTTTGTCACTTTTGGAGAGAAAGAAAAAAAGAATGAATGTATGAAAAAAAGAAAGAAAGAAAGAGAGAGAGAGAGAGAGAAGAGAGAAAGAGAGAGAGAGAGAGATGTCATTAGCTTATATTTGTCGCAAAATATTTAGCTTATTATACAAATAAAATACAATGACTTATATCATAAGTCTCTCTTTTTTTCTTTTTTTACTTTTCTCAGCTCTTAATACTTAAGGTTGTTATGATTTTACTAACAAAAAACATGCAAATGAGTGTCCCTTTAGTTGAATGCTATTACCAGTATATTGGGATTATATGTGCATAAAATATTAGTTCATATTAACCAAAAAAAAGTTTGTGTGAATCCGTCAAAAAAGGACACATTATTAGCTTCTTATCCATAGAAAAATAGGGACACAATATGTTTGCAAACATAGTGTGAAATCATATCAACACACAGTTTGCCGACACTAACGATTGTATACATAACTGATTTATGCAATGTATATACAGTATATATTTATTAGTAGTATTTTCCGGAAAGTATCTAATAATTGTAAATAATAAGCAATATGTCAGTGCATTTTAGTGAAAGTTAACTACAAATTTTGAAAATCAAATATTAATTTAGTCTAAAAATTAATTTTAATTTCATTTTAATTTAACAGAAAGTTATGTAATAAAGATATTCAATAATTTCGAATTTAAATTATTAGTGAAATATTAATTTTTAATAAATTTATAATAAATGTTTTATATAAAATCAAATCATTTTATTGGCATCTTATTCACCATTTGCTGGTATACATTGAAAGCTATAAGTTAATTATTTTATAATAATTTTAAGTAAACAGTTTGTGAATTATATATCTATATTATATAGAGTCTATATTATAGACTATATTATAAATCATAAAAATATGTTTATTTAATTAATAGTTGTATTAATTTTGATACATATTTAGTAAATGGTTATATATAGCAATATTGGTCTACTTTGTAGATTTGAAATTTTTGTGGAATATAATAACTTTAAAAAAACTAACATAAATTTTCATTAACATTTAGCCTAAAATTATCTATAGTTTGATTTTTTTCATCTTTCATACAAACTATACGTATAAGAAATCAGTTCAAAATGTATGTACTGTACTGTATGTTTGACTTCCGCTCTCAATTAGCAAACAAATGCAAATACCGGTGCTGTGAGGATGACTGGTGTCATCACTAGTGAATTCAGTACTTTTAAATCCTAGTCTGTCTTTATATTGACATAACATATAATGTGTGCGACAAATGTCGTGAGAATCGGTCTCCAAAAAAAGCTCACAGATTTGAGACATGAAAATATGTTTTTCTACTTAAACCCCATTTAACACAAAATAACTTAAATATCGAATATAAGAAAATCACTCATTATTTAGTCATTTGTTTTATTTTAATTAATGATTGAATGTAGACATGATTTATGGGTTTAAAGGGCTTATGCATTGCATTGCAAATAGTATGAGAAATATCAATACATTTGAGACTTTGTTTACATTATACTATTAGTATTGATCCCTCACTTAACACTGTAAATCTAATGTATATATTAATATATGTATAATAATAGCTTTAAAAAATTACTAAAAACATGGCTTTTGTGAATCATATGAAACTAATTATGTGTTTTGTGTGAAAATTTATTATTTCTTTCTAACAATCATTTATTGAGGTTTAAATTGAGGCAAAATTAGTGAAATTGTGATATTTTTTTTAAGTTATAATGTGCTGCTTATCTTGCATTAAAAGTATGATAGTTAGTAATACAGTGCATACTTATATATATTGTTGAAAATTTTTATAAATATGGTAGATATTCAAAACACACAAACTATTTAATAAGTTAAATATTCATCGCTTATTAAATTGATGCCAACAAAAACCATTGTATTTAATAATATAAATGTTTTCATTTAATGGCTTTTCACATATATTGATAACACTTTATATAGAAAACAATGAATGAATGCGAAAATTGATTGAATAAAACACTTGAAAACAAGAGACCCTTTTTTGTTGAGCTATGAATGAGACCACAATTTAAAGCTAACATTACATTCATGATAATAGCGCTTTGGTTTATAAAAAGAGTAGAGCCTTTAAAATCATAGTATGTATAACATGTTTACCAATTTAGTCATTGACTGAGTGAGTGAGTGAGTGAGTGGGTGAGTAAGTGACTGACTGACTGCAGCTTCTGTTGTCTTAGAAATCATCTCCCGTTCCCATCAACACATGTGAAATGAGATGCCGTAATCATTATTATTAAAATAGCGATGTCTTACTTAAAGCTTAATGTGTTATATACATACACACACACACACACACACACACACATTGTTAGCTTAAACTACTTGACTGGTTATGTATACACTATACAACTGACATAAAAGTAGTGCATTTTCTAACTGAACCCTCATTTTAACTTTGAAATAGTCAGTTAACTTTATCTTTGTTATAAAAGCTATAACTATAATATGGTTCACCACTACTACAGTTGACATACAGGTCCACTAAAATGGCAATAATGTCCATCTGTTTAACCATTTTCAGTGATCAACTGCTCCGACACATACATACACTTAAACAATTGAAGCATAATATTAATACAGTCTGACCTATGCATTCATTTGTAATTTTATTAATCATTTATTAACAAAATATAAATTGTATTTTATTTATTTGTAATATAATTATTTTATAAAATTAAATATTTAATAAATAAGTCTTATATTAGTAGTTAAATATACTTAAATAAAAAATAAATGTCTAATAATGTCTAAAATAAAATAGGGGTTTGTTGTATAGTTTGGTCACTCATTTTATGTCAGCTTTAGTTTATTGAAGTCGTTTAGTGTTAAGAGAGTAGTGTTAAGAGAGAGAGAGAGAGAGAGAGACCACTGGAAAGTCGTTTGATATGCTTTTTAGTCCACATATTATATATTGAAAGACATTGTGATTGCATTTTTCGAGACCAACAACACATTATTGGACTCCATATAACTTATTATTATACTGTATATACATGTATAGTACCACTATATAACACATATACAGAATTTAAGTAATATTGTCAACACATTCAAATATTTTTGTTATTACAGTATCATAGAAAATAAAAAAAAATATTTTTGACATTTTCTATCCAAAAGTCAGTTTAGTTGAAATCAATTTTTAGCCCATTAAATGTTATTTATGCATACAAAATAATGCTAAACATTGGGGAACAGTTGGCTTTAAGTTAGCCATATATTATTACAATTCTGTACTCTAAATATC